TCTGCGGCGCCTCTCGGAGATCTCCAAGTCCATGGACGTCGTCGACGGCCACCTCGGCGACCTGAAGCGCGCGGACCCGCCGCCGGCGCCGGAGAGGAAGCGCGCGCGCTTCGCCGACGACCCGGCGCCCGCGCGCCGGCGGCCGCGCCCGGACGAGGCCCGCGGCCGGCGCCGGCTCTGGCGGGCGGCGGAGCGGCGGCTCGACGCGGGCGACGCCGCGGGCGCCGTCGCCGCCGTGCTCGAGGCGGACCACGACAAGACGCTCGCGCGGCTCCTCGCGCGGGAGGGGCTCCTCAGAAGCGGCGTGCTCCGCGCTCTCGCGCCGGCCGCCGCGTCCGCGCTCCTCCGGGCGATCGCGAGGCTCCTCCCGGGGGACTACCGCGGCTACGCGCTCCCCTGGGTCCTCGCCGCCGTCCGCGACGACGTCGCCCTCGACGCGCCGACGCGCGCGGCCCTCGCGACCGGCGCGCGCGCCGTCGCGCGCGACCCCGGCGGCGACGCCAAGGCCGCCGCGGCCGCGGCCGCGGTGCTGCGCGAGATTATACGGGGCTAGCAACCGGACATTCGGCGGCATGACGGGCGGGTCGTGTTCCGCGTGGCGTGGCCCGCCGGCGGGGTGTAAGCTCCGCGCCGACTCGCCGGGCCGCCGCCACCTCGACGTGCCAGCCCCCCGACGCCTTAGCACTCGTTCTGGGACCGGTAGGACGCGGCGAGGTGGCCCGAGTAGGACCGCAGGGGCGAGTCGCCGTCGAGGAAGCTCGACGAGCCGCCGTCGAAGGTGAAGTTGCGGAACGTGTCGGAGACCGCGCGCGACGGCGCGCGCTCGCGCGCGCCCTCAGGGTCGTCGACGGAGTGGCAGGGCATGCCCGTGAACTCGTGCTCGAAGTTGGCCGTGAGGTCGTGGGCGCTCTTGGCGTGCGCGCCGCGGCAGGGCTCGAAGGGCGGCGGGAGCCGGAGCGCGAGGAGCGCGTCGAAGTCGATGATGGCGAAGAACTCGTAGAAGGTCATGTCCTTGGCGCTGGGCCGCTCGACGGGGTCGCGGCGGAGGCACGCGGCGATGAGCGCGCGCGCGTCGCGGCTCACGAAGCGGTCGCGCGGGAACGCGAGCGGCTCCGCGCGGAGCCGGCGGAAGAGCTCCTTGCGGTCCGTCGTGTACCAGGGCCTGGGCAGGACAAGAGAGATTCAACGTCGCTTAAACGTGAGTGTTCCGCGCGCGCGCGTTCCAAAAAAAAGCATCCACGCTTCGAGACCGTTCCAAGAGATGATCGCTCTTCCAAAAATCAGCCAAAACGAGTGGAAAACGGCCGAGATATGAGGCTTTGAAGTTTGGAATTTCGCTCTCTTGTCCTGCCCTGACCAGGGCGGCAGGCCCGTGAGCATCTCGTGGAGCACCATCCCAAAGCTCCAGACGTCCGCCGCCGTGCCGTGGCCCAGGCGGTCGATGATCTCCGGCGCGAGGTACTCGGGCGTGCCGCAGACGCTCCGCGCGCCGCGGTCCGCGTCGCCGACGCCCTCCTTGGCCAGCCCAAAGTCCGCGAGCTTCACGTGGCCGCTCGCGTCCAACAGCACGTTCTCGGGCTTGAGGTCCCGGTAGACGACGCGCCGCGCGTGGAGGTACTCGAGCGCGCACGCGATCTCGCCCGCGTAGAACCTGCGCGGAACTCGCGTCCTCGACCCGAACGCGACGCGCGCGTACACGAGTGCGCCGGCATCTTCGGTGCTGCTTCGAGGACGCGACGAGAGCACTCGATTCGTGCAAACATCAGCCGAAACGACGTCGACGTGACCGAGCTCGAGAGGTGTGAAGTGTTCGCCGGATCCGCCGGTCGTTTCCCGCGCCGCGTGGGACCGCGCGACGTGCTCCGGCAGCACCTTCATGCGGGTCTGGTGGTAGAAGAGCTCGCCGCCGGAGCAGAAGTCGAGGACGAAGTAGAGCTTGCGCGGCGTCTGGAAGGCCGCGTGGAGCCGCACGATGAACGGGTGGCGCACGCGCGCGAGCACGGACCGCTCGGTCTTCGTGTGCTCGACCTGGCGCCGGCGGCGGATCGTCGACTTCGTCAGCACCTTCATGGCGAAGTAGGCGCCACTGGCGAGGTGGCGCACGAGGAGCACCTTGCCGAAGCTCCCCTTGCCGACGACGCGGACGAGGCCGTAGTCGTCGAGCGCGGGCTTGCGCCGGGGCCCCGGGCCGTCCGCGTCGCCGTCGAGGCCGTCGTCGGACGCGTCCACGTCCATGGGCGCCGACGACCCGGCGACGTCGGCGAAGGAGGACGTCGGCGCGAAGGACCGGCCCGGCGGCGGCGGGCCCGGCGGCGCGGGCGGCAATAAATCGCGCGACGCCATCGGCGGCGGCGTGTCCGCGAGCTTCGTGAGGAACCGCCGCCCCGGCTCGGAGGCGAGGGCCTCGGGCGCGAGCTCGCGGAGCCAGCGCTCGAGGAGCACGGCGCGCTCCGCGAGGAAGGACGCGCTCAGGTTCCCGAAGAGCCGCTTGCCCGGCGGCGCGCCGCACGGCACGCCGTCCGCGCGGAGCGCGCCGTAGACCGCGTCGAACTCGGCGTAGCGCCGGTAGCAGGTCCAGGCCGAGGGGAAGGCGCCCGCGCAGGCCACGCGGATGTGGTAGACGACGTAGGTGTCGCCGCGCCGCCCGTGGACCAGCGACGTGCCCGAGATGTGCAGGATGCGGAAGGGCGGCACCCCGGGCGGCAGCGCGACGACGCCGCACGTGCCCGGGGCCTCCGGGCCGTCGCCGACGCTGCCGCTCCGGCTCGACTCCCACGACGACGGCATCGGGCTGCCCGGCGCCGCGCTCCCGGCGCCGCAGCTCCACGCGATGCGGGCTGCCGATTTCTCCGGATTGGTCATATCCATTGGGCCGATTCTAAGCCGGCCTTGCTGCTTCCAACCCTCGAGTTGAAGAAGTCGAGAAGCAAAGAGCAAGGCTGCGCCAGATTGCGAGCCCTTAGCTCGCGCCGACCGCCACAGGCGCCGACTTTCACCCGCCGCGCACCCGCCGCAGCGCATCCGCTCGCATCAGCAAGCCGCAGCGCAGCCTATTCTACTCAGAAGCATGCGCTCCTTGTTGGCGCTCACCGCCTTGGCGGCGTCGTCGAGCGCCTTCGTGCTGCCGCGCCAGCCGCTGCGCGCGCTCACCCCCCGCGCCGCGATGCCGACGGAGATCGCGTCGGCCTTCGACGAGGTCAAGAAGTCGGCGGCCATGTTCCCCGAGGGGTCCGCGGATTCGAAGACGGCCTCGGACATCGTGTCGCGCCTCGAGACCGCGTCCTACGGCTCGTGGGAGACCGACGACCTGCAGCTCCTCGATCAGTGCCTCATCGACGACGGCGCGCCCGCGTGCCAGGCCTTCATGACCGCCATGACGACCCTGCGCGAGCTCCACGACAAGAGCCCGGGCAACGCGTAGAGCTTCGGTAGCGCAGCTTCGCGCGCGCCCCGGACGCGCCGCGCGAGTCGAGCCATAAGAGTCGCTCGAGTGTGCTCGCGGCGGCCCTCGGTTCCTGCCCGGGCCGCGCTGGGACACTGTATGGGAGGCGGAGGACGAGAGACGACGAGAGTAAGCTAATGTTGAAGGCAAATTGCTTCGGGCAAAGACTGGCGACCGATGGGTTTTGGCAATTTGTAGTAAGGCCGCGCCGCCGCGGCTCGACCGGGCCCGGTTCGTCGAGGTGCTCGTGCGCGTGGCCCTGCACTCTACAATGGACGCGACCCTTTCCGCGTTGCTGCAGAAGATGCTCTGCGCGGACAACGCGCTGCGCGTCGCGGCGGAGGCGGAGTACGCGTCGCTGCTCCAGGCAGACCCGACGGCCGTCGCCGCGGCGCTCGTGGGCGTCTGCTGCGGCGGCGGCGTCGCGTACGAGAGCCTGCTGGGGCTGACGCTGCTGCGGCGCGTCGTGGGCACGGCCTGGCACGTCGTCGACGCGCCCGCGCGCCGGGCCGCCGCGCCCGCGCTCCTCGCGGCGCTCGACCGCGACCGCGCGGGAGGCGCGACGGCCGCGGCGCGCGGCCGCTGCGACTGCTGCGCGGCGCTCGTGCAGTACGGCCTGGGCCTCGACGCAAACGACCCGGACGCGGCGGCCTGCGTCCTCGCCTGGGCGCTCGCGCGGCTCGCGGACGGCGGCGACCGCGCGGCCGCGCTGCTCCTCGTCGCGCGCGTCGCCGCGGAGGCGTCGCCGCGGGCGCTCGCGGCGGCGGCGCCCGTCGGCGCGGCGCTGGCGGGCGCCCTCGGCGGCGCGCGGTCCGCGCCCGAGGCCGTCGCGGCCTGCGAGGCGACCTTCGCGTTCGTCGCGGAGTGCGAGTACCCGGAGCACTTCGCGGCGGCGGCGGACGCCGTCGCGTCGGCCGTCGCGACGCTCGCCAACGCGGCGCGGGGCGGCCACGCCGCCGCCTGCCGCGACATCCTGGCGGCGCTGGCGACACTCCTCGACGAGCCCCTCGTGTCGTGGACGACGTACCTGCCGTCGAAGGCGCGGAGCTTGGAGGCGCACGTCGAATCCGTCGGCGACGCCTGCGCGGGCATCCTGGGCGCCGGCGACGCGACGGCGGACCTCGCGCGCGTCGCCCTCGAGGTCCTGGGCGCGCTGCTCGAGGCCGCCATGTACTGGCGGCGCGACGCGGCGCCGGGCCTCGGCGCGCGCGTCGGCCCCGCGTGCCTCGGGTGCCTCGCGCGGGGCTTCCGCGACCTCGACGTCGCCGAGTGGGCGGCGGCGCCGCCCTTCCCGCGCGACGACGAGGACTTCGAGCGCGAGTCCGAGGACGCCGCGGAGCACGACGCGGCCGAGGACGAGGCGCTGAGCCCGCTCGCGGCCGCGGCCGCGGCGACGCTGCGGCGCGCGGCGGCCTGCGTCGGCCCGCGGGCCATGCTCGAGGCGACCTTCGAGGCCCTCGACGCGGGCCTCGCGGCGCCGGACGCCGCGGAGCGCTACGCGGCGCTCCGCGCGCTCGAGATTCTCTCGCGCGACCTCGGCGGCGACGCCGTCTCCCTCGCGCTCGCGCCGCGGACCTGCGCGCCGCTCTGCGCCGTCGCCGCGGACGACGCGAGCCCCGTCGTGCGCGAGCGCGCCTTCGCCGTCCTCGCGCGCTTCGCGCTCGAGTGCGCCGGCGCGGACGCGCGCGCGGGCGACGACGACGACTACTTTTCGGGCTTCGACGACGGCGGCGACCGCGTCGCGCCGGCGGCGGCCGACGGC